GATAAAAAAGCTAAATCAATTAAGCTCATTAATAATCGTCCTGGATATGATATGAAATATGTAAAGTCATATATCTACAATTATTGTGGAATTAATGATTATCAACGATACTTTGATGATCTTTATGAGACTGAAAGACGATATGATACTTTATCAGTTATTCGACCTGATGAAACTCCACGACAATGGGCTATTCGGGTCAGAGTTCCTTTACAAGAGTTGGTTTCTGAAAAGAAAAGAAGTGTATATCATGTACATTGTTTATTTGGTGGATTTGGGAATTCTAAGCTAATGAATCATGATTACTACAGGCCTAGAATCCATAAACCCAATGTAGCGATATGTTTAGATTGTATGAAACTTATACATATTGATAATGTAAAACCAAAGAAATCATTCCATTTTACCAGAAAAAGGTATATCGAAATTATCGAGCCAGATGATTTAATGCAGAAGCATTGGGATCACGAGTGTTATAAGCCTAAATCTCGAGATGGGTACGCAAGAATTATACAAAGAGCATTCCGCCGATTCCAAGAAAAAGAGCCATCAAATGCACGACTTGCATGGAATAGCTTACCAAATGATAATACTCCAGATAATAAGAAGTTTTTAGGCATAACTCCGCAAAAAATAAAAAACCCAAATTCCCTAAATCAATTAAAAACACGTCTTAATAAGGAATATGCCGAGTATATAAAAAATATAATAGATATCCGTATAAAGCTGAATTTGAAATTAGTGTGTATCAGGAATATATTATTCCATATGATTGGATAAATCGTAAAAAGGAACAATTGCGATATAGATTTAGTAACTGTCTCCAACAATTAGAAATATAAATACACATATCTATTTATTCGATTAATATATCTATTTAAAATAAAACCACCTAAAGTATTCCTGAGAGCTAGTACTTTAGACTTTGTTTCGTTATCCCCGAGGGCTGGTAACATTTTTTCCCCAGAAATATATTTCATAATTTTCATGAAAGATTCCAATTTTTTCTGCGCTGTAAAATACAATATTAGTTTCTCGATACTATATATCAGTTGTAAAGCAACGACTCAAAGAGCCATGAAATTCAATAAAGCATATTCAGATCTGATTCGTCAATTGCCTCCCTCAATAGCGCATGAATCTTGGATGTGACTAATTTCTCGGAAGCGAAATCCAATGACAGAGGATGAGGCTAGTACCATAAATCCCATAGTTGAGTCATTTTTAAGACATGAGGTAAATAGATATCAAAAAAAGTTAAAGCACAAGAGACAAAGTTGGCGACTACTTGAAAATTTACAAACTATGTATAATAGCGAAGCTAGTGTCAAGACACATATAAACATGACCAATCAAGAAACCCAAACCCAAGATACTACCGCTCCAATTTTACCTTCATGTAACCACGAAAAAGAAATAAACGACCAAGTTATGGAAAAGCTTGAAATTACACGTCGGCAATTGCTTGAACATCATATCGATATATTTAATAATTTTATGCGGGATATAACTCGTGATTATGAAAAGCAGATTAATGAAAATAAAAAATTGCGACGTGAAATCGAACAACAAAAGATACAATTACAAGAGGCAGAAAAATGCCTTGCATATCTGAAGTCGCGCTCTACCTATTCATCAAGTTGACTAATTGGCATATCCCAGCCGACACGTATTCTATGCGGGTGTTCTGGAGGTACACTTAAATCGAAAACAATAAATTTCTGTTCACATAAATGCTTATTTACAATTTTATAGACACTGCGCCAATTATTAACATATAAACGAAGTATTCTGATTAACTCGTCTGAAGTGCTTCCATTAAAAAGTACAACATATTTTAAATTTTTTCTTATTAGTTTTGGGCAGTCGAAATAGCTTTGTGAGATATACATCGAAGAAACATTAGAATGGCGCCCCTCAGTAAAATAGGGTATAATCTTTTCTTTGGTTCGGTACATACATCCTCGAATATAGCCACTGTACCTCTTTCCGGTGAGAATGAATCTAACTTTGGAATTTTATCAGGCTTCATAGCCCGAAATGTAATATCTTCACGATATGGTTCTGGGCTATTTGCAATTATTTGAAAAATTGTTTTAAGGTACATATATTTTGGCTCCTTGAGATAGTGACCAATAAGCACGACATCGTCACACTTAATATATCTAGTGCCTCCTTTTTTACCATTAAACATTCTATTTACTTTATTTCCACCCAAAAGATGAACAACTTCAGTACTTTTTCCTGTATTGGTTCGCCCACTAATTAACATTGTAAAGGGCCATTGAGGGGTTGAGTTTTTCGAGTTATATTTCTCAGGAGACTTATATTCATCTATATTAAGTACAAGTTTCTCAACCGGTTCAAGCTTTTCTATTTTCATATTGATCAAAATAAGTAATGCTCAATTATTATATCGAAAAATAGTGATCTTATGAGTTTATTCTTTGTATGATAAATAACCTTTCTTTTGTAATTTGCTTTTTATATATGGTAATAAATCAGCAGAGTAAGGGATTTCAATGAGATCTATACCTCGCTCTTTGCATATATCCCGCTTTTTTTGATCACGTGCCCTTTGTGAATCTAAGTCACCTTGATTTTTGTGATATAAACTGTTGCGATAATAATGTTGGACCCCGTTAAATTCCCATGCCAATTTTAATTCTTCGTTATATCCATCTAATTGCATTCCATTCAAAAATGATGGTTTACAAGATGGAAACTTCTTACCTAATAGATCTTCGAAAATATATCTTACGTTTCTCTCAGTGGTATGATGGCATAGGGGACACCACTCAAATTTCCGCTCTAAAATTTCTAACGGATACTCGAACTGATGTAATCCATTCTCACAAGACCAGAGATATACATCAAAATCATTTATTTGGCCAGTTTTCATAATACAATGTCCACCACGCTTCCTGGCGTATTGTTGTGCTTTAGCCATTTTATTAATAATACGAACAAAATTAATAGATCTGGAACGAGTGTTTTCTTCCAATATACTCTGGGGCGGATACTGAACTTTTTCTAAATCTACGTACATGAGCTCCTCTCTCACGAATCCCCGCTTTGGAGGATATTCATCATCATCACTTCCAAGATAATATAAAACTGGTTCGTTCTTCGTTTTCACGATTTTGCGAATTTTATGTAATGAAGGACTCCATACTGGGTCAGTCGTGCGACGTGCTGTTTCCATACCTCCTTCCCACTCCGCATTAGCAAGCAGATAGCGAACACTATCCCCCTTTTTTAACTTATTTTTCTCATCCTTTCCAACAGGACGCTTATATTTCGTAGATGGTCTAGACTCTACTCGTTCTAACTGAATGGCCAGCTTTGGAGCTAAACCCCACTTTGTAGAACCCGGAGCTCTAATAAGACGTGTCGGATAATTATTTAGGTAATCGATGACTTCTGGCAAATACTTCACCCACTCTCTTATTAATTTAGGATTTTTAGATATTGATTCAACGGCATACTGGATTTTATAAAGCATCTCTGCTAACGTCTTATTGAATCGTTCTACAAGAGCTAATCCACGATGACTATAAGCACCAATTACTCGAATTGTAACATTATGCGCTTCCATTAATCGAGCAGTTTCGCCCATGAATTCTTTACCGCCATCACATTGTAGAAGTGTCGGATACGTAAGAGGGTTATTGGGATCATCATAAATTTTCTTAAATGCTTTAGCAACTTCAGAACTATTCTTCGATGTTAAAGGAACACTTGCCTTGAACCTGCTACCCACATCTATAATTTGTAATACTGCTTTCCATTTTTTACCTTTATAGTAATCATGCGTAAGAAATAAGAGATCACACTGATGTACACAATTTGGTTTTTGAATTTTACCATAACTAACCCGTGGAGTATCTTTCGGTGACGGAGCATACTTTTGCCATTCATTCTGGTTTTGCAACCATTCACGAACTTTTTTATATGGAAAATTATATCCTTTATCTTTGATAGCATTATACAGCTTTCGAGGGTTGGAATGATAACCAGTAGGTTGGTAAAAAAACAATTTACATATTGAGTTTAATTCCTTATCTGAATCAATAGGCTTGCTCAATTTATGCGAAGTATGGTCTAAGGATCTACTCATTTTCTATATAGTAAAAATTATGTATAGCAAAGTCGGAAGATAAGTTAAGAGACAAAATCTCCTTTCTATGAAAGATATATTATGCCATAAAAAATAGAGACAGAGTCTTATTGCTTCGTAATAATCATGGCATTTCGTAGAGCACGACCCCCTAATCAAACAACTTATAGATCAGCTACGGATAAAGAACTCGAGCTAGAGCAAATTAACCAAGAACTCCAGGAGGTATTACAATCAGAGGTAGCTATCAACAAATCGAATGAGAAATACATAAATGAGCTAGAGCGCAAATATACCAGATGTGAGAATGAAATTCAATCCCTCAATAAAGAACTGGAACGGCTCGAGAATGCTTCAGAGGAAGAGAAGGCAGAGTTGAGATTGGAGATATCGTCTCTTAAAAAAAGCTTACACCGAGCCACAAAGGAAGTTCGGGAGATTAAATCCTATAACGTTAATCTGGAACAGCAGTTACAAGAATGTTATGAGATTATATCCAGTTTGAAACAGAAAATCAAAGTTATCTCATCCCGTGAAAATTCACCAATTCGTGGACATTCTCCGGACCAAGATATAACATCAGATAATATGGCTCGCACTAGACCAGCTAGAACTATTGAAGATTACTTGGCTGATACTCAAGATGGTATACGACAAATCTTAGCACAATTTACTCCAACAAATCGTCTTCGTGCACCCACAGAAAGAATAGTTGATAGACTTGATGGATACTTGCGTGATATTAGACAGCTTACTGGAGATTCGCGTCAACAATATGATCAACTTAATAGACGACATGTTACTCTAGTTCAAGATCATGCTCAGCTTACTACACGCCACAATAACTTGCAACAAAATGTGAATAATATCATAAATGAGCGAGATTCTCTGTTAGCTCAAACAAATCTTGATCAGCAAAATCTTAACATATTAGGCCAGCAAAATATTGACTTTCAGAGGCGTCTCTATCATAGCGATTTATCACTTCGAATTCTTGAGAAAAAAAGGACCAGAGATTTGCGTGAAAAAATTGCAAGCCATACCTTAAATCGTTATCTAACTACTGCTTTGATAGAATTAAAACAAAAATATAATCGGCGGGGTGATACATGGCGGAATGCTAGCTTGGCATGGAATAGACAATGCAAGCTCAAGCGGGCTCTTGAAAAATTATATAAGGCAGAAATTTACCGATTGCAACGGGAGCTACGGAATTTCAAAAATCAAAAGGCTCTTGATGACAATAGACAAGAACAGATTCTTACAGATTTAGAGATTGCTGAGGATGACCTCAATATCGAACAGAACCAAAATATCGCCAACCAGCAATTAATTTTGAATTTGAATCAACAAATTTTTGCGCTTCAGAATAATCTACCTATAAATAACCAATATAGAGGAATGGCAGGATACGCACCACCCCTATTTTATGGAAAAGCTGGAGAAGATCCTGAAGAATGGATTAGAGATTTTAGACAATATTGTGAAGCATCTGGACTTGATCCACTTGCAGACGCTCGAACCAGAGTAAGAATTCATGGACTTTTTGAGACTTGTTTAAGAGATGATGCAAAAGATTTTTATGAAACTCATCTCAAGAATAAAAATTGGGAATTGCAAAATATTAGTGACAATACAGGCCTTGCAGATCTTGGTGCTATCAATGGGTTGGCCAACAATAATGCATTGCGTGCTATTAATGCCAATCAGTTTAGAGGCGGAGCTCTTCAAATAAGAAATACAGTTCCAGCTGACAACAATGCAATTGCTACACCATTGGTGCCGTCACATATTGTTTTTGATGAAGATTGGTTAATAGCAGGTGGACAACCAACAGATTTAGCTCCCAATGCTCCCAATGCTAATGCAGGAGGTAATACTATTGCCCCTGGTATTCGTATTGGACAAGTAATATACTGGCTCAGAACAAATTATCCAACGATTACTGCTGAAAAATCAAAAGTTGTATTTAATAATATTACTCAAGGAACTGATCCTATAGGCCGATTCTATGCACAATTAAAAAGAATGGTTGTACTCGCTTATCCAGCACTCCCAGCATTAAATCGGGAAGAAATGATTAGACAACAATTCTTTCAAGGTCTTTCCCCTGACAATAAATTAGAAGTAAGACGTATTGGTCTTGAAAATCCAATTTCCACTTTATTACCAAAATTAGAACAAATTGAAAGACAGAAAGCTGAATTGATGTTAGGGCAGTACGATCCCAATTCTCATCCAGTCACTTCTCGTTCACGATCTACAGCTAATACAAAAGATCCTTATATAACAAGTAACACAGGTATGACCAAAGACGAAATGGAAAACTTTGTAAAATCTATTATAGCTTCTACACAATCTCAACCCATTTCTCTGCAGACAGCTTCTCAATTGCAAAATAGGCAGTTGGTACGGCCCAGTCAAATGGTGCCAGGTGAAATTTATAGAGATCCAAATTTGCGGTTAAATGATCAAGAATGGCTTCGAATGGATGAAGCGACAAATCGTCTTAGTGCTCTAGCAGGTCCATCTACTTTACAATCATTAATAGATACAATTACTAAAGGAGTAGTTGATAAATTTTCTTCCTTCTTGCCTAAGAAAAATGGAGGAAATGCATCAAAAAATGTTGAAGTCGACTCGGATGAAGAACTGGCTAATCGTATGAGTAAGTTGTCGATAAATAAGGCTATATCTAGACAGGTCAAGAAGGAGATTAAGAAAACATCCCAACACAGATGCTCAGGATGCCATAGAATTGGTCATCGTTCAAATTCTCCTAAATGTCCGAAAAATAAAAAGAAGAGCAGATCCAGAAAGAAAGGTAGTGTCAATAAGGTTTCTATAGATTCCAATTCTGAGTCTGATACTAACTCTTCGGATAATAATTCCAATTCTGGCTCCGACTCTGGGACTGGTTCTGAATCGGAATCTGATTCTGTGAATGACTTAACTGAGACTGAAATCGCGAAAATTATCAACGCTGTTAATTCAAAAAAAAAAAGTAAAGCGGAAGGGTAGATCGTCCTCTAAGAAAATACCTAAATCTCATAAGACTAAACAGAAAGGTGTTGCCACCTCTAGTAAGTCTCAAAATAAAGTGACTACCCTTGAGCAGAATATTCGTCGAATTTTGTTAGATATGCTTGAAAAGGTCTTACTCCCACATCAGTTAGAGAAACTTAAACCCGAAAACAAAAATTTAGCTATTCCAGATTTCACTGCAGAGCAGGGCACTTCGTGCTTAAATCACCGAGAACCAATATCAGAGATACCCGAATCAGATGACGAAGAGGAGACGCTGAACGATCCTATGGAGATTGATTTTGTCCGTCGAAAAGAACCGGTAATTAGTATTGCAACTATACCAGTTAAAATCAAACGCTTAAAAATTCCAGCATTAGTACTAGATAGTGGAGCTGAACCTCCAATTACATCGGAAGACATTGTTAAACGTGTAAATTGGCCAATTGATAAATCAGAAAAATATGATCTTAGTGGAGTTGCTACAGTTCCAACAGAATCTATTGGTATTGCTCGTAATTTCCCAATAACATTTCCTCCAGGTTTTACTATACGTGAAGATTTTGTAGTTGTACGTGTTCCTAAACCGACATTAATATTTCCAAATCCGCTTCTCAAAAAATATAAATGTGCTGTAGACTGGGGTAATGATAAAATGAAGATTCACCATAATGGAGAAGATTTTATTATTCCGGTTACTATGCATAAAGTCAAGAATAAACTTGAAATAAATTGCGCTACCACATCTCAGAATGATAAACCTTTGGTATCCGATCAAATTTCTCAAGAGGTCGATAGTAATGAGGGGAATAATGAACCATTGGAGGAGGAATGGCACGCTCCTGCGGGTTTTAGCCTAGATTCTAAGAATTCGACTTTAAAAAAAAAACGCATGAGCTATGAGGAGTTAGAAAAATCGCTATATACTACTCTCGAGTCTAAAGCTGAAATAAATGATCTTTGTGAAAAGTTGCAAATGCGTTATGAAAAGCTACTCTCACAAAGTGAGGATGTTTCTGCATCTGAACATATCTCTATCAGAGATAATATTATAGATTAGTAGTAGCTAATAGGCGAGTCATATTTGCTTTATTTTTCTCATCTCTTCTGGCTTCTTTTTCACGTAATGTAACTAGATCCTCACTACTTATTTTTTCTGTCTCATTAAAGTTATTAGTAGGTATTGGATCAGATATACGAGAGCAGAGCTCATGACTTGAAGAGTCGCTTTGAAGGAGCTTATTACATAATACGGATTTAGACCGAGATTTGGAACTTTTCTTTTTTATTTCTGTATTGAGAGGAGTATATTCTGGATATAAAGTCTCTCTTCCGATTCGATTAAAATTTTCAGATGGAGTTGGTGAGACTAGTGTAGGCTCTTTAAGGCATTGTTCTGCAATAGATATAGGTAATATCTCGGCGCTCCCGATCTTCCCATATATCATCTACTCGATGTTCATTAATATGGAAATCTCTCATAATTCTATACTTAGGTACCTTATTTTTGAGCGATCTAATTGTTTCTATCTGTTCAGAAGTTAGATATGTAGATTTTCGGCGATAGTATGATTTTAGAAATGGTGTATTCATGGTTTTTTATCCAATATTTAAATGATTTCTAATATTTTAGAATAATAAAAAATGATATCTATTATTATAGTACAATAAAAAATAACATCTATCATTATAGATGAATATGAAATATTAGCGTAAACAAGCCTTCAGCTAATAAAACTAATACAAAGTACTAGAAACTAAAATAAAAAATTAATATATATAACCTAACTCAACAATATCTAATATATTTTTTTAATAGTCTAGGTTATCTAACATTAAATATCGTTATATAATAATAGAATTATTAACAAAATTAGTTTTATTAACATCTGTATATTATCTATTATTTAGCGGGGCAAATGCAAGGTGCTAATATGGCTAATGTATATACATTACAAAATATTAAAGGCCATCGACTTGGTAGTATACGTGAAGAGGAGCTAGAAAAAATACTACATGATACTATCAAATCCAAAGCTGAAATTAATAAGCTTAGTGAGAAATTGCAGGATAAATACATAAAGCAAATAAAGGCGTTTGATCGAGAAAGAAAGGGGTGGAATCGGGATTCGTTACGAAATAATACTGAGATTCAAAAGTTACGCACCCATGCTTTGCAGGTTATTAACGAGCATAAGCAACTACAAAATGAAAATACTAACCTTATTTCTCACAACGCACAAAAGAATATTTTTATTGCTGAAACCAAGGCCGAGAATGTTACAAAATCCAAGAAAATTAGATCGCTCGAGTCTATGATCAAGATATTGGAAGGTAAGTTGTCTTCAGCCCAGAAAGATGTGATTTCGATTCAAAATGACTCATCGAAAAAAGAAACCGAGATCACGTCGCTTAAATCTAAAATAGCTGAAGTAGAACATGAGTTAGCTTCAAAAGTCAGTGAACTTGAGTGTCTGAAATCGGAGGCTATATCAAACCCCATACTTGGTAGAAACGATGAAAAAAATATGACCAAGTCTGTCTCACGGAGTGAGGATGCTATCGCATCTGATATATCTGCAGTATTGCAAAGCAGACCGTTAGGCGATGAATCAGAGATTCGAGGCTATGCCTCATCCAGTAAAGATCTCAGTCAATATTTTCTACGCAGAAAAAATGATACCGAGATTATTCCCAAGGTAAGTGACGAAATCGATATTAGCAAAACTAACAACAACATACTTCAAGAAATACCAAACATGACTCCTTACCTTGCACAGCCAGAAAATAATACATCCTCTTTGATTGAACCACATTCTCAAATCCCGATAGGAGGAATAGGAGCCATCCCTGCTGTGGCAAGCACTTTAATGTCACGGCTATCAGCATATATTTTTCTTGTTCTGCTAATTATTGCGGTTGTGTGGTTTGTGAGACGCACATGGGGATTTGAGAGGAAAAGTGAGCGGTTACGGGATATGTGGATCGGGTAACAAGACTATCTATTTGAACTTCGATATTATTTATGTACAAAAAATATTAATTTAGTATTGTATAGGTATTACTGATATTGGGAGTATTAGTAAGATACTTATTATAGACTTTTAATATATTTTTCCAGCCATTTTTTGGCTTCCTTCTGGGAATATGCATCAATCTGCTTTTCTTTCTCATCCAAATCTTTGAGTTGCATAATCTTATGTGAAGGAGGCGGTTGATACCTGTCATCTTCATTGATAAAACGTGCACACATTGCAAGCGTACTACCTAAATAATAATTGATATCTATTTCCATTTTTTGCTCTTTTGCTATATCCGTATACTCCATATAATCGCCAATTCTATGCGCTATTAACCGGCCTTTCTCATCGCGAAGGCGGGGGCCCTTCACAACTACATAACTAAACCGTTCGCCAGGATCAGGAATCCTCTCACTTCTCTCTCTCATACGTCCCATAAAGCGAATGTTGCAAAGATTTTCTTTTTTTGGCTTCCATGTTCCCATTACAATAAATTCATTGAAATCCCATTCCTTATTTCGTGCTTCTCTGAGAGTGTCTTCGACAATTTCATGAATCGTACGTGTATTGTCAATATTCATAGCCTCCTGCATAATCTTTCTTCCAATAAATCTGAAGAGTTCAGAATTCCCTTGCTTTACAATATCAATCCCTCGCATAAAGAGATTATCTGGCCTAAAATCGATATCCTTTTCATGTTGCACACCAAAGTATTTTTTCTTACCAGTAAAGCAAACGGGAAATAATACTTCCTCATATGCCATTTTTAGATAAGATGTGTTATTTTTTATTTTGAGATATTCATTGACTTGATCGCGTAACTTTTTCATCACATCCATAGTAATTTTGACCATTTCAGTCCAATATGCTTCTTTAGAAAGTTCTTTCTCGAAGAAGGCTTTATCGCATTTTTTATAATACTTAACTGGGCAGGAGAGATACAAAGAATCAGTATCCCCGTATTTTATTCCAAACCCTTTCTTTGTTACGAATTCAGCGACAAGATTAAGGTTGTATTTTCCTGCTGAAGTAGTTCCTCCGGCTAATTCACGAAGAAAGATTGGAGATTTTGAGTTTCCTGCTTCCCCGTAAAAAGTATTCATATATACCTTCAAAGCTTTTTGTTTCGAATCTAAATAATCGTAATCGAAGCATATAGACGAGTATTCTAAATTTAAGCTTTCCGAATTTTTTTTATCTTTCTTTTTAAGTGAACTTATCATTTTCCCAAGCAGTTTCTTTTTCTTCCCCAATGGGTCGAGTTGTGCTTTAAGCTCTACTCTCTTGTTAAATAAATCCTCTAATACGATTGGGTACAGGCCCTTCTTTTCCAATTGATTATCATGTCTTACACTCCAAGCTTGGACGATGTGGTTATTAAATGGAAACTCAATCTTATGCAAGTTATTTCCATTATTTTGCACAAAATTAGCCTCATCTGGCGTTAATATGATTTTTTCCGGAGAAAGGTTATAAGTCATAATAAGGCTGGGATATAAAGATGCAAAATCCAGACCCGTCACTGGCCTTTCTGCTTCTATACCTTTTTTAGGTGGAAAAACGTATGCGCCAGGAAATTTCCCTTTTTCTATATTTTTACATACTCTTGTACTAAATACCATATCACGCTTGAAAGCATAAGCACCCAGAAGATTTCTTACCTTCATTCCATTAGCCCGGTAATGTGAATCAAATAAAGATACATATGCTATAGAAGCAATCTCCCTATAATCATTAATTACATTTCGTTTAACTATAAGTTCTTGGCAACGTAATGCATCTATAATGCAATAATGGGCTACTTCAGACATGTTTTGTATAGTAGAAGGATGTGATTTATTTAGGGAAACACTCTTTTTCGCTTCTGAATAGATTTTCCACATCTTATTATATGGCATATCCGCTTTACTACCAAGTCCACATAGTTTTAAATAAAATGCAAGTGAACTTTTTTTATCAACTTCTGCACGAGGGTAGAGTTTCATAAAACATGCACGTACGTCAATTGGTACACAACCCGGTATTTTAAGAAAAGTGGAAATATAATTATCTTCTGGGCTAATTTTGATTATAATCGATTGTACCCTATCGATTTCTTCCTCATTATTATCAGTGTCGCCTTTTTTAATTTGGAAACTATTTTTAGATTTTACTCCTATTTTCCCATAATAATTCCATTTTTGAATTTCTTTAGATGATTTAAAGCTTCCCGTCATTTGCTTCCACATCCATTCGAGAAGATTAAGTCTGCAAGCTCTTTCCATAATAAATGGCCAATCGTATTCAGAATCGCTAAATCCAAATTGAATATCAGGGATGAAGGCCTTCCAACATAAAGCAAACGCTTTTAGTAAATTTGTCTGGTTCCCACATATAACTGTTATCCTTCGTGGGTCTGGTGCAGTTTCAAGATCGACAAGACAGATTTGTTTTAGCGGTCTTGGATCATCTTTCCAATGCAAAGTCATACAAATCATAAATACGATACTTTCTTCATCATGTATTTCAGCAAATTCGCCCAACTCTCGTGATTGTGTCTCTATGTCCCATGTAAGGATAAGCGTACGATCTCTCATGAGTGCTGAAATTGGAAAACGATCACTTATCTTTTTTAGATCTTCTACTGGCCGAAAATCATTTACAGAAACTCGAAAATCGTGTGTATAATGAGAATGTTTTTTGTATCTATACTTGCTTATCATAGACCAACCAGAAATCGCAATTCCATTTTCTCTAGCTATTTTACGGTGAAATGAGAACATATCATCTGATGCAGTTTCGAAATTATTATCTTGGATAGCTTGGAGAGCTTTCTTCCTATCTCCACTACCAAGTGTAAAAATTCGTAGATAGGACCTTTTTTCTATATTATAACCACGAAACGGGAAGGCCTTAATATGTTCTATTTTATAGATATTTATTGTATTACAAAGAATTTCATCTATTTTTATTTTAAAGTCATCTACAGATTCATTATCGGGTACAAATATATCAAAGAAAATCTGGATTCCTGTAAGAGTAACTACCGCTTTTTGACCATTGAAAAGAGAGCCGTAAAGACGTAAAATATAATGATTTTTTTCACCTATTTTTTCTGATGAACCCTCAAAATCGACAGCCATGAAAGGGATTTCCTCTCGTTTAGCTAAAGCATTATTGAGAATTGCAGACAAACCCTCATCATTTTCTGCAACTATATTATCACGGGTTGGTAATCCTGTTAAATAATCACCACCAAAGTATCGGAGTAATTGACCGGTTTTTCCATTTTCCGAAATCTGTGATTGAGGAAAAGCTTTAAGCCCCCGGTGGTACAATGCCCCGCTATTTTCTTCCTCTATATCTATCTCCGGCTCGAAATTCTCCGAGTTTTCTGGGCTCTCTGGTCGAGAAGGTGGTGCTTCTGATTCTGCTGGCGCATGATCGTTATTTTCTTGGAAATTTTGGGTATCCATGGTAAGTATATTTTACTGCTAGTATATTGTTCCGGAGAAAAAAGTTCAAAATGAAAATTAATTCTAAAGAATAGTTATCAGTAGATAATAATTATTATATCATAATCATATAAATATGGCATTTTATCATTGCTCCTATATTCTTAGGACTGGAAAAGTTTGCAATCGAGGTTGCTATAGGCCTGAAGGGTGTAAAGTTCACTGGGATTCTCCACCACGCGTACCTTGTAAAGAATGTGGTAAGTTGACATATTCTGGTTATGACTATTGCGACACTCATGCAGATAAATATCGAAGGCGGGATCGATATCAACTGAAGAAGCTGGAGAAGATGGCACAAGGTGGGGAATCGAAGATGAGTCAGGCACGTAGTGCCATTGTTCCACAGGCCCGAAGGGGCGATCCTTTAGGATCATAAGACTCGAAGCTCGGCTTCCCCGATGCTCTGCATCACCTGGGTTAAAGGAAAATTAATATACGTATATGTGGTATCCTGGATACCTATATTTTTCGAAGTTTCAACTAGGACGAATTTTTTTCTAGGACGTAAGCCAAGACGGAAAAAAATATGCCTGCTAACAATTTCAAGACAAACAAAAGAGTTTTAGAATACCCGTCCCAGTTGTCCTAGTTGTCCTAGTAAAATTTCGATCTTCTTACTTTTTTTTTCTTTTTTTTTATCTATAGGTATACATAGTATATATTATATGTATATAGCATGTATATATCACATGTATAGTATAAATGTATCATGAGTAGATAAATTTTATTTTTCCTAGATTATTTCTTTTTACTAGGACAACTAGGACGAATATATAATAAATATAAAAGAACAAGATAAAAATGGATTTTAAACCTTTCTCCTATATCGAATCCGTCCCAGTTAACATTTTTTTTACTAGGACGAAACCAGGACGGATTTTTTATTAGGACGCGAGCAGATCGATTTTAACC